TGGGGGCCGGTGCCACCCCTGGCCACCATGTAGACACGCCCCTGACGCACGGTGATAATGGATACCTTCATGAGTGCTGTGAGTTATTATTGATTATTTTTTAAATAATATTATGAATGAACCGTCTTGTTGTTATATCTAACATTTTTGCTCAGACTCGGCTCAGAGAGCACAGAGATGATAGCAAATAAGTAAAGCTAACGTGGCACTGGACGAGCAATCGTTATTATAATCCAAATGGGCAAACGGTCTAAATTATTATGCAAGTTGACTCGAGATACAAAAAATGCAAAACTGCAAAGTCGCATTTGTCATCCGTCACCGTGACAGCAAGTGGACTTTTGAAACTGGAATAATGAGTGGGTTACGCATTTCAATTGGCAAGAGAGGAATAACACGGATGGAACTTTCTTGGCAAGGAGGATTGTGTGCATCACAGTCAGGTACAAGGGAGAAGGCTTCTTACATTAGGTAAGACAAAAAGTTTAATTTTCGCAACTTGTTAATAGCAATTTGCTGTGGAATATGTGCCGATCGGGTCCAGTCGGGTCTGTGTCTTCCCGGCCGGGTTCGGGTCCATCTTTCAAATAATTGACGGTCCACGTCGGTTCCGGGTAGTATATTTTTGACATTTCTCGGTTCTGCACGGGCCTGGGTCCAACTTTCAAAATAATAGACGGGTCCGGGTCGGTTCAGTGTAGCACATTTACGGGTCATTTACGAATTTTGGGACCCGTGTAGACCTCTAGTGTAGAGCAAATGGATGGAGCCCTGAACCACCACAATGCATTGGGAAGACTGAAATGATTTCTTTTATTAATGCATGACTGCATTCTGTAAAGGAACAGTTCACCCAAAATGAATGTTGTCATATACTTACTTGTGTTGTTTGTTGAGGAAGTCTTAGTGAGCTATAGTGAGTCTAGCTAACCATTAAAATATGCAGTGTTTGGAGTAGAAGGCACATGGATGGAGGACTGGAGGCTCACCCTGCCGCTACGATAACACAGCTCCTACAACGGTGGTGGAGGCGTCAACTTCAATGATGAATGGTTGTTCGGGATCTGGATGGATGAGGGTAGGAGCGGAGCAAAAGGCCTCTTTTAGATTGTGGAATGCTTTGGTGGCTGCAGTGTTCCAGGACAGAGACTTGGGCTGGTTGCGAAGCAAAAAGGCAAGAGGAGCACAGATCTGAATGAAACTGGCAATGAATCTTCTATAGAAGTTAACGAAACCCAGGACATGTTGTAAGTCCTTGACTGTAGAGGGTTGTGGCCAATCTCGTATAGCTTGTACCTTCCTCTGGTCCATTTCAATGCCGTTCAATTTACATAGCTGAGGAAATGTGGTTTGCGGTGGAACTCACACTTTTACAGCTTCAGGTATAGATGGAACGTGTTGGCGATGTTCGGCCAGGTTCTGGGAGTAGATCAGGATATTGTCGATGTAGACAATGACGAAGCGATGGAGGAACTCCCGGATCACCTCATTCATGAATCCCTGGAAAACGGAGGGTGAGTTGGACAATCCATATGGCATCACCTGATATTCATAGTGACCTGAAGGTGTAACGAAGGCGGTCTTCCACTCATCGCCCTCACATATCCGAATAAGGTTGTAAGCACTTCGCAGGTCCAGCTTGGTGAAGGTATGAGCTCCACAAAGTTGTTCCAGGGTAGCTGGGACCGGAGGAAGGGGATAACGGAACTTGACTGTTTGAGAGTTGAGAGCACGGTAGTTGACACACAGCTGCAAGCCTCCATCCTTCTTGCCAACAAAGAAAAAGCTTGAAGTGGCAGGGGATGTTGATGGTCGTATGAATTCCTGTTTCAGAGTTGCTTCGATGTACTCCTCCATGGCCTTCTGTTCCGGGATGGACAATGGATACACTCATGGTCGACATTAGGGGGAGCAAGGGGGGCATGTTGTTAGTCATGGAATCCCTGATGGTGGCCCCACTGCAATTGGAGCGCTTAGCCAAGCCAAGGCGCTAAATATCCTCAAACGAAAGCAAAACTATCCAGCTTGTTTTTGCAGCGTTGAGCGATGTAGCCAATCACGGACATATCTGTTGATTTCTTGAACGCAATGGCCAGTCAGAGGTGTTTTGTCAGAATTCATTCACTGCTGAAAGCGGTGCAGTTTTTAAGTGCAGTTTTGCATGCCCGTGTATCATCTCACGACTAAGTGCAGACGCGATGTAAATAAGACATTCATTATGCAGTTTAGAGAGCTTCATTGATTATAATGGAACTTTGTGAGATTGCGATGAACGAAGATGAGTGATGCTTTTTAGTGATAAAGGGAGCACACTTTGCGCACTTGGGTATAATCCATTCAGAATTTGTATGAGACAAAAGCATGTGTAAACTTTATTGAGATCGGGATATATCAACCAGTAATTTAATTTCATTTCCAGTAACGGATGGTAGAAAGTTCAGCAATGAATGGTGTGCGACTTCTGACAGACTATAGCTCCACAACTGATCGTTTATTTTTTCCTCACGTCTCGCCTTTGGTAACAATGATTCAAAACGGACACATTTCAAGTGACACGGGAAAAAGACAGTAAACTTCAGTGAACATCAGAAAAGCTGCGTGCACATTTCTGGTTAAAAATTAAAGGCCATCAACTGACAAACTGGAAGCATCGCCATTGAAGTCAGCAGGAAGAGTCAAAGCTAGTCCATAGTTTAGTAAACGGTGGCAACCTCTAAGTTATTCTTGACTGTGTTATATTAACTGCTTTGATGTGTTGCAATACGGTAGGGCATTGTTTTGATGCTTACATCTGAAAAAAATTATTTTGCTTTTATTTTCTTTTATTATTTTTGGGGTTTTTTTGCATTTTTTTCTTGCCCCCCCTGACTCAGAAGACAAATGTCGCCCATGGATACACTTTACCCTTGGGTAAGGTTGCCCCAGGCAGCAGGTCGATGGTACAGTCCCATGGCTGATGAGGTGGTAGTTTCGTTGCCAACTGTTTACTGAAAACATCCTGGAATGCCCGGTACTCAAGGGGAATCTCTTGTTGGATCTTGGTATCAGGGCTCTCAATGGTTGTGGAATTGAGGTTAATAGTCTTGGTAGTGGATGACGGTTTGACATGAGACTGACAGGAAGGAAGTTCCTTCATGGACGATAAGCAATTTCTGACACAGTAGTCACTCCACCTTTGGATTTCTCCAGTGCTCCAATTCACCAATGGAGTGTGTTAAGACATCCACGGGCGTCCCAGGATGACGTCAGCAGTGGAACCCTCCAGCACCATGAACGAGATAGATTCTTGATGTAGACTACCGATGCGGAGCATTACTGTGGGGGTGCAGTGTCAGATGTTACCACGGCCCAGCAGTTTTCCCAGTATCGAATGGATGCTTAGTTCTTGTGAACAAAATCTCCTTTTGAGATGGAGTCTTTGGAGAAGGTTGAGGGAGTTGAAGTTCCCCACTGAGCCGGTGTCGATGAGGGCTTGCACTGAAACAGAGTATTGAGTGGCGATTACTATAACAGTAGTACGAGTCAGCAATTCAGTCATGGGAGGTAATTGAATGATACTCACCACTGGGCATGGTGGTCGAATTGGACAGCTGGGTAGTAAATGTCCTTCTTCTCCACAGTACAAACATAGTCGATTGACTATTCTCCACTGACGTGGTCCAGATTTAATGTGTCAATTTGCATGAGCTCAGGTGCTGGAAGGGCGACTGATGGTGCTGGGGGTGGAGGATGAGGAGCAGGTTGGTCAAGCATGCAGGCAGTGAGCCACTGTGAGATGTGGATGGATCTTTGAATGAAACATTTCAGGCCAATCACATCATCATAGTTTTCCATTTGTTGACGGATGTCAGGATTGAGACCTTGACGCCAGTAATCAGGGCAGTCTCATTCCAGCCACTGACGGCCACTAGCATACGAAACTGGAGAATATAGTCACTCACAGAAGATTTTCCTTGCCGTAATCTGAACAGATGATCGTAAATTGAGATTGACAAAATACCTCTTTAAAGTGGATTGTGAAGGCCGTCAGTGAGCTGGTTACCGGTCCATTGGACTCCCACGTGGATCTTTCCCATTCACTCGCCCAGATAGCAAAGAGATGTATGCGATCTTTGCTCTGTTGGTGGTGAATTGTTGGGGCCGCATCTTCGAAGAATAGTGAACACTGTAGAAGGAACCCACTTCATTCCTCGGCCTCACCAGATTAAGTCGCTGGTCTGGCCATGGGACTGGCAGAGGCAGACGACGAAGGAGTAGGTGCTGGTGGTAACAATGACTGACAAAATGTTTGTAAAAGTTCAGCAAATGGGTCAGGATTCCGACCTTCGCTGGTTCCTGCATTTCATTGCATGTTGGTCCGGTCTTCTGTTAGCAAACAGAAGAAGGCAATACAGGAGATTTCCAAAACACACAGGCACTTTATTTAAAGAAACTGGCAAACACAAGTGGCGATAACAGGTAAGTTGTTGGAATATGGAAAATGTTGACAACACTGAGAGGTAACAGTCTTTCTCTTTAGCAGGATGAAGATAATGTCCAGGGAGATCGGAGAGACGATGGCAGACAGATGAAGACTTAAAGAAGGATCGATGAAGGTAAGTAGCACAGGTAGGTTGCAACACAAGTGTAAACAACGAGATTGGACAAGGGTGAGTTGTAGAGTGACTGAATATAAAGCATCCTTGATTAATGTGGCAGGTGCAGGTGATCAGAATTCTGGTGACTGTGAACGAGTGGGTGGAGCTGAGAGGTCTGGTGTTGAAGGTGTGACTGACTCCGTGACAAATATGGCTTTAGGAGATTTGGAAAATAGTTCACAAGTCCTTTGAACCACCTTCTGCAATTTTGATTTTACGATGTTTTTGTTATTAGCCTTAGTGTCCTTCATTTGCTGTTATTAATAGTAGAGTTAACAGGTCATGTTGAATTATAAATATATTAAACAATCATTAGTCACACTGTACTATAATTGAAAATGAACAACACAGGTATGGATATCTGCAAGTACAATAAAGAATGTATTATGACCCTTACTCGGTCTCTTAAAAATGTATACTTGTGTATCCCTAACATGATGGTAAGTAATGATGTAAGCATATATTGATGAGTCTATCTTTGTATTAATTTTAGGAGCCAAATGTAATTTTTAACCACTAGATGGCGGTGTGGAATGGGAGGAGTTGGTGTATGTCATTGGTGTATGTCATATGACATTTAAACCCTCATGGTTGTGTGTGTGGAGAGGGTAACAGGTGGCGGGAATACATGGTTCTTACCATATCCTAAGATCCATTGAACCATGAATCCACGTGTATATTTGCAAGCTGCATTCATTCATTAAATGAACAAAGCAAGAAATGGATTGTTGCATGGACAATGACTTTATTTCAAACTTATGAGTAAAGAACATCTTGCCACCTGTTCCTGGGTGGTTAGGAAGCCACCACACAAAAGTAAGAACCATCTCCGACTAAGAGAATTACTGTTGGAGTAAAGGAGAATTTCCTTGCGCATTGGAGCAAACGGAGGAATTCTGTGAATGGAAACGTCGACTTGCGCATCGGCAGATTGAGTGACTGCTATTGGAGTGTGGATCGCTTGCCTGGTGTGTTGCAGAGTCTTGGCTTCTTGAACCAAACAGAGTGTGTAAGCTTTAAACTTGATAATGCTGAGAAGTTTCAGAAGCTCAACAAAACGCTGGTGAGTGAACCTCTCTTTCTTTGAGCGATATGGCTATATCGCATTATGAGATTGATCCGTTGAGCCACGAAGAAGTTTGAATCATGGCCTATGTTTGGAATGCTCTACTTTAAATAATGATTGGGCTTGCTGCACGTCGTTGTGTTGAATTGGATCGCACTCTGTTTGTTGTGTAATCTTGCTCTGTGGCTTGCTTGAAATGTGCTCTTGAAAGCGCTTGTGTGCACAATGAGTGTTGTGGGAAAGATGAATGGCGATGAATTGCCAATTGCAAAGGATGATTCCGATGTGTCTGAAAATAAGTCCGTGGTTGATATTGCTGTTGAAAAAAATAATGCTGTTGAAACGGAGAAAAGAGGAAGGAAAATGACTGAAAAGGGTGTCTCATTGAGCATTGAAAATTTGCAATGGCAAGTACTTTGATGTCATACACCGATCGGTCTGCACACGCAAACAAAGCCAAAACCTAGATATTTTAGGCAATATAGAAATCCTGGCCAGGACGCGTCCTGGGAAAATGGCACGTATGGTCACCCTAAACTTCATGATCTTGAAGCCAACGAGGAAGAACTCCAAAGACAGAAAGAGAAACTGCGGAGAGAAAAGGAACAATTACAAATGGAAACAAAATTAGCTGCTGCCACTGCAAAACTATCTGTGTTGGAAGCAAGTGAGGGAAGTGTTGAAGGAATGAGTGATGAAGAGGATCTTATGAATGCATATTATAAGAAACATGTAAGATCAAGTGCATCAAACAAATGCTCAAATTTAAAGATGCCTTCACAACAACAAAGTGCAAATTCTCAACATGACCATTTAAGTGTACGTCCAAAGGAGAGACTAAGCATGCAAGCACAAGCTTCAAGGCACTGTAAACCTTCATCAACAAGGCAGCAAATTTCAAGTTCTGATGAAAATGTCCACACACACGTTACCTCCCCCAGTTTCCACTCGTGTTCATACTTCGAGTCCTACCTTGCATGATGTTGTACAGCAGCAAAATAACATTACTGCTCAGTTACTAAAACAGCAAGCTTTGGTTTCTCTTCCACCTCAGATGATGTTGGAATTTGATGGTGATCCATTGCAGTATGGCTCTTTTATTAAAGCTTTTGAACAAGCCATTGAAAAGAAAACTAGTGACAAGCAAGAATGCC